GTGGTCATCCTTGCATTTGGAAGGTGAAGAGCAAAGAATACCACAACCGTGAGATGAAAAAGAATGCTTATTTAGCACTGACGGAAAAAATAAAAACAATTGACCCCCAAACTAAGAAGGAAACTGTGTTGAAAAAGATCAACAATCTACGAAGCAGTTTCAGGAAGGAACGGAAGAAAGTATTGATGGCTAAGAAATCTGGAATGAGTAGCGAAGACCTCTATGTCCCGAAATTGTGGTACTACAAAGATTTGTTGTTCCTGGTAGACCAAGAAGAGGCCTTGGACGGGTTTTCAAGTCTTGTTAGTGATACGGAGGTAAGTGGTGTAATTAAAAATCAAACTTTTATTGCATGTTAACAATTATAGATTACAATGCTAAACACTAAATAATTCTGTGCATGTGTACGGAATCAGAGCCTTCTGCCTGGATGTACTGTTTTTAAAAACAGAACTTATCTTGCCATGGAACTTTTCCCTCGTTGTTGAAATACTGCAAACACAACTCTCTTACAAGTTTCGCATCCTGGGTAGGAAAATCCCTGTCGTCTTTCCAGATCCATAAATTGACTGCAGCGATAACCAGGCGTAACATTCCCAGTTTCAAAATCCTCGTCATCCAAACACTCCAATGGTGTGTACCGATTCGGAATCTTGATGCGCAAAAAATTATGCAGGGCACAACACGCCATAACAATATGGCGGACGCTAGTCAAATCTATGATAGAGATGGGTTTCTGTAATACTGCAAATCTCTCCACAATTATACCAAAAACACTTTCAATCCTTCGCCGAGCTCTAGACAAACGGTAGTTGAATCTTACGGGCTGGTGTGTTTACTTTACGGCTGAAAGGCTTCATGATATCTTTCCTCAGTGGAAAGGCATCATCTGCTACAAGAACAAAAGGCATATTTCTCCCAGCAACAATTGTTTCCTTTGGCACATTCAAACTCCCACTTTCGAGTGTCCTGTAGAAGTCTGTGCTTTGAAAAACTCCACCATCGGACACGACCATTTGATCCAAAACTGAAGTATAGTAACTCATAATTGGCGTTTGCAACCCGAAATAAAACCTGGCTGTGGAAATTTTTATAGTTAAAGAAGAATGATCCAGCCCCTGGAGGAGGCGTGATAGCCACATGTTTTCCATCCATGGCTCCTATGCAGTTGGGAAACTGCCACCGATCTTCAAACTCCTTAGCAACTTTCTTCCACTCCTCTTGCGATGTAACCAGATGACAGAAGGCACTGAGAGGAAGAGAGACACACATACACACAGAGAGGGAGATTAATATGCTTGGGGTGTAACTATATTTTTGTGTTTTGTTGTTTACAGGACTTAGAAGAAACAGAACAAGAAATTACACAAAAGTCAGCCTCTCCAGGCATTTCAGCGCAGTCCTCTCTTTCAAATCCAAATGCAGAACTAAGCATCAGCATTGGTCCCATCTCTTCCTATGGCTGTTCATTCAAACGTAAAAAGAATCTGCCTGCTAGTGATCAGATACTAGTGGCAGTGGGTGATCGACTGACTCACGTGAAAAGTGAGGACAGATTTGACTTCTTTGCAAAAAATGTCGCTGCCAAATTACGAGCATTAGGAAATAATGAACAAAGGGTTTATGAAGAGAAATTAATAAATGACGCTCTTTTTGAAGCAGAGCTTGGATCGCTTCAATCAATACCGGTACTGGAGCATGCTATGCTCTTGGCCCTTGGTCAAATATCTCTTCGGGTTCCATCCACGATGATTGCGTGGGTCACTACTAGAGAGGCGGGTCAATATTACCCTACTTCCTTAACTCCTGCCTGGGCTATAGTAACTGTTGGGCATGAGAGACTTTTTTTAATGTGTGTACCATGACAGTTTATTTATCTTCCTGTATTTATAATGTTACCCTCACTTTTCATATCCTATGTAGTAAAAATAAAAATGTTCAAAGAAACTTGTTTCCATGATTTATTCTGACCGTCTTACAGTGCATACATTTATTCACCTTACTCTTCTCTCTTGCACTACATGTTTCAGCACTGAACTTGTTTCACTTACTTGCCTTGCAATACTTCCTCAGTACTTTGCAGATTGCCTTGCAGGTCTCAGGAATCACTCTTCCCAATACTTGAGGAGAGATACGAGTAGAAACTTTCAGGTCTTCAAGGATTCTTCCAGTAGCTAGATAGCGAAGGGTTGCTGTCAATCTTTCATTGGGTGTGATCGCTTTTCTCATGTTCGTATCTTCTTTTTTTATGTATGGCGAAACAATACTCAACAGTTCCAGGTAAGTACTTTCATCCATACGCAGGTAGTTGCTCCAGTCTTTTGGAAAACATTTGAGTTCTTGAAGCAAATCGATGTGAGTGAAACGATTTCTTCTTTCTAACCACTGCTTGGTCCCTAACTTGCGTCTGCGTTTCTTTCTTGTTAGCAATACACACGCCATAGCTGCACATGCAAACAGTTCATCAACTGTAGACATGTTTTAACAAATAAACAAAACTGCACTGCACTCGGCAACATAGGCTGGAAGCCTGCCGGTTTATCTGCGCGTGTATGGGGGAGGAAAGGGAGGTGGTAAACTGTCACAGAATTTAATTGTTTCTTGCATCCTGTTGTGTATTTAATCAATATTAGAGTCAATTTTACCGAACACACAACATATTTTTATTATTATTATTACACTACATGTTTCGACCTCAAGAGGTCATCCTCAGGTGTACGAACACAGCTGTATAATTACACGTAATCACATTCGTCTTTTCACTTATTCGATCCTGTATCTTACTCAGGCCCACGCTCAATAATATGTCAAGCTCCTCTCACAAAACACAAGTTAAAATATTATTCTAAATATCAAAAGTTAAAATTTAAAGTTTGCGAATCGAATTTCAGTTCAGATCACTAGTTATGCTTTCATTTTCACTTGTATTCAGTCACTTACTACTTACGCTCATCACTGCTTTAATTATATTATTGGTTAAAAGTTCATGAATTAAAGTTAAATTTTATTATATTGATTGCACTTTTCACTTTTTGGAGGTCTCGCTGTTTTTCCGCGTCTTCTGATGTTACTGGATCTGTTACGGTCCTTGTCGTGATGGAGTAGTGATCTGAATTGAAACTCAATTCACAAATTTTAAATTTAAAATTTAAAATTTTGACATTTAGAATAATATTTTAACTTGCGTTTTGTGAGAGGAGCTTGATATATTATTGAGCGTGGGCCTGAGTAAGATACAGGATCGAATAAGTGAAAAGACGAATGTGATTGCGTGTAATTATACAGCTGTGTTCGTACACCTGAGGATGACCTCTTGAGGTCGAAACATGTAGTGTAATAATAATACAAATATGTTGTATGGTCGGTAAAATTGACTCTAATATTGTCAGTTTTGCCTGTAAGGTCGATCGGAAGGCCAAACTGTGTGTATGGGGGGCCTAAGAGAGCAGTGGGCACGGAAGTTCATCACACCGTTGCCATGGCAACCATGCTCTCCACTTTGCACCCTCAGATGCTTTGTGTACTCCTGAAGGACCAAGCGGTTGGTAACGGAACAACGAGATAACGCACGGGGTGTCCAGAAAGACAACAGAAACATGCGGACATAAAAAACAGGAGAAAAAATATAGAGAGAATAAACAGATAATCAAATAAACCAAATTAAGAATAATCCGAACAGCTAAGCCATAAGAGGCGCGATGTACTGCGCTGTGATGACACAAATAGCTGAATGACTGGCAAGAAACCAGGGAAGCTATTCATGTTGGGCCCCGTACGGATGCCTCAGGGCAGTTGTACTGACAGCTGCAGGTAATCCCAGCCCCCACCCTTCTCCATCCACAGTTAGCACCCTTATAAGCAAACTAAGCAGTCAGTTACGCCCTGTACTAGTACAGTCCAGTCAATGTGTTCACATCGGATTCCTTTAGGATTCATTTTAATACAATAACAATAATTATTTATATATTGTGACGTGCTGTCTGAAAGCCGGACTATAAGACGTTCATCACTAGTCAACAGCTAGTAATTCCTAGGCAATGGTTGCCCCCGGAGATGAAAGTCTAACAGTGGGGTTTCCACTTTCATTTGTAACGAAATGTATTCCCTGTCAACAACAGATTCGTGTCATAGCAGCGGGCGAAATTAACCCTTCGACAAGGTGTTCCCTATTCAGTCCTAGTGCAGGATATAAGAGTTCGTATCCGACGAGAGCTAAGGACAGTTGAGCTCCCAGCAGAGCAGAAGACGCTCCTCCGAGATTAGTGGTGCACTTTGAAGAGGAAACGTCTGAAGGCGTTATAAGTGCGGATAATTGTATTTGTAAGTGTAAAGAGTGACTGTCCAATAAATATTCGTCCAAGTCCGAAACCCACAAAAATTTGTCGCGTTGCCTAGGAAACACGCGAAAATACTGTGTATATATTGTATTTATACATTGTATTGAGTGAGTGAGTGAGTGAGTGAGTGAGTGAGCGAGCGAGTTAGAGGACAGCTGGGGTACAGTCGTTGTAAGCTGTTGCTGTGAGAAACTCGTACCTGAGGCCGGGGACAATCCGGGAACCCAGAGGAAGGGGAAAGTCAGTTGTTGGAAGCCGTTGCCAAACAACGACTGGTGAAGACACAGGAGGCTGAGAAGACTCAAGTGTGTGCTCTAGTGAAATGTAAAGTGTGTAAATTAGTAAAACGGTTATAATTACTTGTGATCAGCGATCTGTAAGAATTCAATTACCAATCGAAACCCCGTCTATAGTCACTTCATACACGTGACAATATGATATGCGATAAGCGTGTATGGGAACTTTGCATACACGAGCATACTGTTTGGTTCGGAAAACGAGATCAAATTAATACCTTTTACTCAACTGTTTCACACCATGCAACATTACAGCCACATACATTCAAATTTCGGCTTGAATACGTCACGGTTCCCACGGTAACCCACTTTCCCACAGAGAGTGCACAACCCTGTGACAAGTCTCCTACAGAAAGCAAAGCCTTACCTTGTCTCGAAGCCTGTCTGTGTATCTGGTCCCGAGATTTTGGTGGCTGTCGGACGTCTTACATGTTTCTCACCGTCATCTGAAACAATCAGAAATCCCGTGACTAACAAGACAATCAGCAGTCAGCATTCGTATTTTCAACAGCACCCCTTTTTCTCATTTGCGCAGACGGTACGACCACTTTGTATGATGCGTTTGCAAGGGCAGTGACATGAACCATTTTAAGATCATGTCCCACGATTTGCCAACAAGATCCAAGCAAAATCACGAAATATCTCAGGATAACTGATTTCCGGGATTGGACTCCGAAGCTCGGAGTAGGAGTGAAAAGCAGTCAACACCGACAGTGCTCAGTACTAATAAGGAACTTGCAAAGTGAGAGACAGGAAGTTGTTTAGGATAACCCGCCGATGGTCACGTGGTAGTGGCTGTTGAGCACGTTTCACACATAAGAGACACACGTATGAGTACATGTTTATTGTAAGACACTGGGTTTAATTCCTGTCCATGTACAAGCGTGATAATAATAACAACAACAAAGCCGATATGGGGGAAATGAGAAATGCACACAAAATTTTAATTCCGAGCCCATCAGGGAAAGCGACCTCCTTAAACTTGGGATGAGGGAATAATATTAAAATGTACTGCAGAGAAATTTGTTATGAAAGCTGCACTCATTCTGGACAGGATCGAGGGCCGGATCTTCCTTGATGACGGAGGCAGAAACGGTCCCCGAGAACTCGCATGGTCGACAGCCGGACACGACCGCATTCAGTTCAGACCTCACATCTGGTGAGCACAGTAACACAATCTTCGGGTTCATAAAAGTCTTGACAAGCTGAGCAACTATAATCATTTTAAGAAAAGTAGTACACAATGGCAACAGTAACGACAATAAGAATGATAATACTATTAGTATTATTTGGGGGAACAGTAACAAATCGAAATTTGATTCAGGAGGAAATTCAGAGGAGAGTGAACTCGGGTAATGCTTGCTACCATTCAGTCCAGAACCTCTTGTCTTCTCGTCTGCTGTGGTTCTGTATGGGTGTGAAACTTGGTCTCTGACATTAAAGGAGGAACATATACTGAGGGTGTTTGAGAACAGGCTGTCGAGGAGAATATTTGGACCGAAGAGGAATGAAGTGACAGGAGGTTGGAGAAAACTGCATAATGAGGAGCTACGTAACTTCTACTCTTCGCCAAGTATAATCAGAATGATCGAGTCAAGGAGGGTGAGATGGGCAGGACATGCAGCACGAATGGGGGAGAAAATGAATGCATATAGGATATTGGTGGGAAAGCCAGAAGGAAAGAGACCACTGGGAAGACCAGGGTGTAGGCGGGTGGATAATATTAAACTGGATCTTAGAAAGAAAGAATGCGGTGGTATGGACTGGATTGATCTAGCTCAGAATAGGGACCACTGGTCTTGTGAACACGGTAATGAACTCCGGGCTCCATCAAAAGTTCTTGAATAGCTGCACAACTGGCGGCGTCTCAAGAAGGTCTCAGCTCCATAAAGTTATTATTATTATTATTATTATTATTATTATTATAGTAGTAGTAGCAGCAGCGCCGGTCACGGTAGCCGAGCGGTCTAAGGCATGCACTGTCTTTGCTCGCTCGGAACCCGGGATCGTGGCTTCGAATCCCACTCAGGGCATGGATGTTTGTGTGCGTTTATCTGTGTTTGTGTACAGGTAGAGGCCTTGCGAGGAGCTGATCACCCGCCCAAGGAGTCCTACCGAATGTGTAAGATCTAGAAAAACCGAAGTGAACGGAGAAGTTCATGGAGGTAGGCCTAGGCCCACTGGGGTTGTAGTGCCAAGGAAAAAAAAGTAGCAGCAGCAGCAGCAGCAGCAGCAGTACTAGTAGCAGTAGCAGTGACCGTGGTGATGGTGGCGGCAGGATGTGAATAGAGGACGTGAGGTTAAAATTCAGGGTTCGGGCTGGCAATAAAAATTACAACGGAATTGCGAAACAACTACAGCCCACCCTGGGGCAGATTCCGTTAGAAACTGACCCCCCTCGGCCCAGAGTACATTGGCTCCCACAAAGACAACCATCGAACAGCAGATGTCGAGGCGGAGGAAGTACACAGACCGCTCTGGTTCCTTCAGCGCGACACAAGAAGAGCAACAGAATAACAACGGCAACAGCAACCCCAAGACCGTAGTGTGACTCCGGAGACTGGCGCGGCCTGAAACAGTGACCACGTGTTTTGCAGCTGGCTAAACTAACGAACTGAAACTCGATGGCGTCGAGAAAATGTAGATGGAAGTGGTTGTGGCCTACTTAAAGAACCCTTCTACGCAAATATAAATATAAATCACTCCGTCCAATGTGACCTGTAAGTTTTTTACTACATGAAAACTTAACACCCTTACATGTTTCGGTCTCTGCGGACCATCTTCAGAGGGCAAACATCGCTACAAATAGGAAACCACCATCACATAAGTTGCTTAGACGTAAAGTACGTGCACTTATATGCTACAATACATAGTACACAAAATAGAACATTTCACAAACACAGCAGTTTCCTGGGAATGTAAAGTTTTTTATAAAATTGTATAAAATTTCTTGATGCTAATTAAACATTTTTTGGATTGTCAATAATTAAAATTAGTAAACCATGCAGGCTCGTGTTCGTTCGTCCTCCCATCGTCCCTCTTATATGGGGCAGATAATGTGCCACCTGGCTATCTTGATGTGGAGGTTCTTTATATCGTCCAGGCTTTGCTCGTGGCTGCTGTGTTTTCACGCACTCTACGCACTCGCCTGGAGTGACAGGAGGAAATCACAGAAAGAAAAACGCCCTCAGTCAGGATTTTTGGTATCCCATCCAACATTCGAACCAGGCACCTCCGATTCAAGTCAGACTTGTTCACGCTTGAGACAAATTAAAGGAGTGTTTCTTCAAAATACACGAAGGCTATTATGAAAACCCGAAACATGCGTACCGAAGCATCTGTTCTTTCTTTGCATTGCTTGCAGCCTCTTTCATGTTGGTTCCCTGCTTGGCTTACCCCTCAACCCTGAAGATGAAGGCCATATGTTCCTCCGAAACGCCTGTTGACTTTCAGCGAACAACATGACGTTATGTCATAGAGACAGAACTCTGCATATCAGAGTTGTGAGAACCTCAAATCCTGCATATTACAAGCAGACAATCCGGAAGTGACTTGGCTGGTACATCAATGCGACTCCCTATCTTACGGCCGTGGCCACGGCCCAGAACAATACCTGAACGAGTTTCACTTGAACGAGCCCACAAAGTCCAATAACACATTAGAGTCCCGATAAATGCCACTTTTCCGCTGAGATGACGGACAGTGGCCAGTAAAGGTCACCTCCTTAGATGTATCATTACAAGCGGTATCCGGTGTGACCTCCACAAGTCATTAACTTCTGTGTTAAACATGTTTAAAGTCGACAATGCTAAGAAAGAAGCAAAACAGTGGAATGGAAATTAATGTTGGGAAACGTACAGATCGCTAGCCTGGCTTCTGAGTGCACAATAACCCATTAAGAGAACTGTAACAGAGGTGAAAGTAAAATGTTTTGAACCTGTCACCAGTCAACAGTTTCACTTTCATCCTGCGCAGCACAACTAACTTCTCGCGCTCCGTTGCCAGCTGTTCACTGTCCCCACTACTTCGAGACATACATGACAGAAGCCACATGCTCGTCAGTAATGTACGGCCGATGTATGCCCCCCAACCCCCTTTGTTGCCGAGGATCAGTAGCATTGTCGTGTGGGTACGTTCGCAACTCCACGGAGCGCATATGAAAAACCGTTCCGTCTGCACGCTCAATGGATTTTTGTGAAGTATGCCATTGAGCTCTACTATAATCTGCCGATACATTCCAAATTTTGTTAAAATCTGAAGCTTTACATGAAGTACATGAAGACAAGTACAATGATCAAGAGGATGAGATGGGCACGGCATGTAGCACGAACAAAGCTGAAGGGACATGCATGAAAGCCAGAAGGAAAGAGACCAATATGTGGCTGGAAAATATTAAAATGAATCTTGAGAGATAGGATGGGTTGGTGTGGAATGGATCGATCTGGCTCAGTTTAGGCTCCAGTGGAGGCCTCTTGTGAACACGGTAATGAACCTTCGGGTTCCATAAATAGCTGGGAAGTTCTTGAGTAGCTTCACAATTGGCGGCTTCTAAAGAAGTTAGTACAATTGTAAGATTTGAGGCTTTCACGGCGGTGACTATGAAGAAAGCAGTCTTCTGGGATTTGGCACCGTGTATATGTGGTGTTAACCGACGTTTCGGAGGAACGTATCGCCTCCATCTTCAGGGTAGAAGAAAAAATATAAGAAATTTGAAAGCGAAGAGACCGTGAGAACCGGTAAAAGCAGACACAGATTTCTTATATTTTTTCTTCTACCCTGAAGATGGAGGCGATACGTTCCTCCGAAACGTCGGTTAACACCACATATACACGGTGCAAATCCCAGAAGACTGCTTTCTTCAAGTTAGTACAATTGTTTGGCAGACAGCAGAAGGAACACTTTCTCTTAACTGGGTAAAAGGAAGGAAGATGCAAGAATGAACTGAACTGATGACATTCAAAGAGTGGAAGAGGAAAGATGTGTGAAACACGAGATGAAGTGAAGAAATGAGAAGGAATTTATGTAAGAAGATGCGAGAGCCGAATTATACAAGTTCGGGGCCGAAATGGGTCACAGAATTCTAATCCGTGATGCTCAAGAATAGAAATACGTGTAAAACAAGGACATATTTACTAACCTTTCGCCACTTCTTTCCCCCTTTTTGAACAGCAACTCAAATCTCTCTTTGGGATATGATACTTCCCGCCACTATTGTTCCCCATTCCCGCAATAACTCCACCGGGCTCCGCTGTTCTTCAGAGGGCAACGGCTGCTCAACCACTCAAGATATTTCCACCGTCTTATGGAACCCGAATGTTGTACCTTGTTCACAAAAACCCACCACAAGTCTCTATCCTGAGCCGGATGAATCCAGTCCATAGCGCCCATCATACTTCTCTTAAATATATTTTAATATTATCGGACTGCCTCTGTGGTCTAGTGGTCA